GACAGAACTGGATTAACGGTTACTTTAAAATCTCCACAAATTCTAATAGTGCCGTTCTGTTTCCTAACGGGTACAATAGGTGTACCCCAACCGCCCACGTCCTCGACGGGGCTGATGACGCCCTCGGCCTCCAGGCGCGCCAGCTCGGCGTCCACCGCGGGCCGCAGCGCGTGCGGCACGACGCGCGCCCGGCGCCACACGGGCCGCGCGCCCGCGCACACTTGCAAGCTAATGGTGCCGCGGTTGAATGTTCCCATTCCCGGGGCGAACACATTACTGTATTTACGTACTATTTCATTGATTACGCTCTCATTATCATTGCATGACACTTGTGCTATCATGGGCAGTGAAATTTTTAAGTGTCGCATCCATTTTCTACCGATAATGGGTGGACAATTACCATTATCTAAAACATATCATTTCGAAGTAAAAGATTGGTCACTATTAATGACGTTGACTGGCATTATGCCAAGTGGTTTAATTTTTTCGCCACTGTATACAGTCAACACTTTGTTGGATTCGATTAATGGTCTGCCTTTAAACAATCTATTATAAGTATCTTTTGAAATAGCGCTTACCGAGGAACCGCTGTCGATCTGCATGTTCAACATAACACCTTCTACATTCAACTTACAATACCAAGGGCTATCTGATTCCTGTCCATCACTTAATCTATAAAGCGTAGGAGATTCGCCATCCCCCTCCGAATCACTATTTGCCACTTGAAACACTCTTTGGCTCTTTTTATTACGGCACATGCAGCGTTGCCAGACGTCCCGATTTTGGCGGGACGTCCCGATTTTTAGATCAAATTTAAATGTCCCGCGCGGGACAGGCTCGGTCCCGCTTTTCGGAGAGAGACACTCACTTCACCAGACTATTGTTTGAAACGCCATATGATTCCAAAGAATAAAACTTTTTTAATTTTTTTCTTTTTTTATTCTAACATAACATTTTCTATGGCTACTTTTGTTATCTATTGTCACGTAAACGTAATTTTAAGTCAAATAAAAAGATAAATATTTGAAAACCTTTGATTATATACGTTTTTTTACTATGTCCCGCTTCTGACGGAAGAATCCCGCTATTTTCACACAAAAAGTATCAAAGTCCCGACTTGGCGAGAAAAAAAACTGGCAACGCTGGGCACATGTGACTTATATGACCTATTTTATCGCACTTGTAACACATTGCACTTTTGAAACCGCACTTATCCGCCGAATGCTGCCGCGATCCGCACCGATAACACCGGTCTCTCAGAGACCGTCTCTGCCCGCCTGGGTGCTGCGCTGCGAGCTGGCTCCGCTGCCGCGCCCAGCACTCGCTCGCGCCCCTCGCGCCGCTCCGGCGCCGCCACCGCCGCCGGACCGCACCGCGTACACGCCGGCGCCGTTGCTAGTTTCGCCGGCCTGGTTCTTGCCACCACCGAGTTTCGCTTCGAGTTCAGCCGCTTCTAATGACGTAGCTAAGGTCACAGCTCTTGTAAAACTGAGCTCCCTTTCAGTCAGTAATCTTTGTCTATATTTTTCGTTCCATAAACCATAGGTGAATTGGTCTCTAAGATTTTCCTCCAATGACTCTTGACCTTTGAATTTGCACGTCATCGCCAGTTTTTTTAAACGCAATAAATATTCGTTCACTGTTTCACTTTGATTTTGCAGACACGCGCGTAATTTCATGCGTTCCGCCATATCACTCGCTTTAGGGTTAATGTGTTTTTCTACGATATCCACTAATTCGTCGAAAGTTTTATTCTCCGGCTCATCAGGGCTACACAAAACCGTCATGAGGTCGTATGTTTCATTTCCCACCAACGTGATTAGATATGAGGTTTGCACGTTCACTTTTATATTGTTCACGGTAAAGAAAGCTTTGATACGTTTTATGTAACTACTCCACGTGTCCGTATTTAAATTAAACTCTTTAATGTTCCCAATTGCACTGGAATTTTGGTCCGCCATTTTGATCCTCGTTGCCAGTGTAGTGTATGTATATCGATATAGGTACTAACTACGGGAGCTAATTGATAACACGGTGGTCCGCGACTGACTGGTTTATTTAGAAAAGAAACGCAGCGCGTCGACACTCGATACAATATAGATGCGTAGGTATAGCTATAGCATGAATACATCACACTTGGTATTGACATTTTCTCTAATTTTAGTGACGAACCTTTGTCTAGAAGCTCTTGCAGTTCAGGATCTGATTCTTGAAGATGTGCAACAGCATCGTAGTCTAAGCACGATATGGACTCGATTCTTGAAAGTGCATCTGCCACTACGTTTTGAATTCCAGCCACGTATCGTATGTCAGTGCTGAATTGAGAAATATAATCCAGATAGCGAAATTGTCTGGGTGAACATTTATCTCGCCTCTTAGAAAAAGCGAAGGTTAGTGGCTTATGATCTGTCAATATGATGAACGGTCTAGCTTCCACCATATGTCGAAAATGCCTTATTGCGTCATAAATTGCCAGGAGTTCTCTGTCGTAGGGACTGTATTTCTTTTGTGCCGGTTTAAGATGACGTGAGAAAAATGCCAGGGGTTCCCATGAGTCGTTGATACGTTGCTGAAGTACTGCTCCTATGGCAACGTCTGATGCATCCGTTTGTATTGCTAACTCAGCGTTTATTCTTGGATGTGCCAACATTGCGGCTTTTGACAGGGCTGACTTACAGGAGTTGAAGGCTTCTATCATCTCTGTTGACATATCAATAGCTTGCGATGGTTTTTTCTTCGGGCCAGCCAATGCGCTGTTCAATGGTCCTTGTATAGCGGAGGCCATTGGTACGAACCTTCTGTAAAAGTTGAACATCCCGAGGAAACGTCTCAGCTCTTTTATTGTTTTTGGTAGAGGGTAGTTTAATACAGCTTCAACCTTGCTTTCCAGCGGGCGCAGACCATCAACGGATAATTCATGACCCAGAAAAGTTGTCTTAGGTACACCAAACTCACATTTAGCTGAGTTGATAAGGATGCCGTAGTCTGTCAGTCGTTGAAACAACTCTCGTAGATGGCGCTGGTGCTGCTCTGTGCTGCTAGAAAACACCAGGATGTCATCCAGGTACCCGTATACGAAGTCAAGGCCTCTAAGCGCTTCATCAATGAACCGCTGAAATGTTTGAGCAGCATTTCTTAGACCGAACGTCATATATGTAAACTCAAACAGTCCGAACGGCGTTGTAATGGCGGTTTTCGGGATATCCTCGCTGAATACAGGAATTTGATTGTAAGCTTTTACTAGATCTAGCTTAGAAAATACTGTACTTCCTGCTATAAGATGAGTGAAGTCTTGAATATTTCTGATGGGGTACTTGTCTGGGATGGTGCGAGCGTTGAGTGCTCGATAATCTCCGCATGGTCTCCATCCATTATCCTTTTTAGGGACTAAATGCAGCGGCGATGACCATTAGGGTGGAGCACGGTTGTATGGGAAAAAATTTTTTTTTAGTTTCGAAGTTCTAATAGGGGGGGATTTGTGTCTTATATGAAAGTATAAATAACTGTAATTTTTTATCTCATTTAATGAATATCTTCTGCCTCCGCAGTGACGTCAAAATTTTAAAATTTTATTTGAAGTTGAAAGTCGTCTAAGGTGAAATATTGCGCTCTATTTATTAGTAAGAAGGTATTAAATGACAGATAATTGATACATTAGATATTTACTAAGGTAATATAACAAGAAATACATACAAGAATTAGATAAATTACTTTAATTATTATGCTTGAAAATCCTTTTTTGATCAAAATTTAGGCATCACGTTTCGCGATTCCTAAACTCATTATAACGCAGTTTTAAAAGCTTTTTGGCTCATAAAAACCTTTTCTTCCAGACCTCCAGACAGAAGATAGATGATAGTGACTAATGGCTAAAAAAGTTTTATAATCTGTATCCATAAATGGTTGAAACCTGTCAATTGTTATTTTCACTTTTCTGAGTCTGGAACTGTAATTTATTTCTCTGCAGCTATTCGAAATATATTTTAACTTGGTAAAATTAAAAAGCTGCGATATTTTTGAAACTAAGTTTCCTAATGGATGAACAAAAACGTTAACTCAGGCTTGTCGTTTCAATGTCTGCTTTTAAATTATGTGGTAAGTACTAAGGATTCAGTACTTTTGTAGTTTGTTTATGATGAAGATCACAAAGACCTCATACCTACAAGACAAAAAAGTTGTCCTCTGTTTTGGAGATATGAGAATCTAATGCCCGTTGTCACCATTAATCCCTAATTGTCCCCCTAAGTGACCTCCTATGGTAACACAACAGGAATTTTGTTTTCAAAGGGGTCACTTAAAAATTTGGGATTGATGGTGAAAACAGGCATACATTTTGCAGTGGTCGCAACGTCATCATAGGCGGAGGCGGTGATGGATGCTGCTGCTTACCTATCCCCAACCCTTGTGCTTGCTGCTTCAAGTGCTGTGCTCAAATCATCTTCAGGCTTTTATGCTGCTTGCTCATTGTGGCGGTTGTGATTGGAGGGTGGTTCTTCCTTGCTGAAGCTGCTCTTTGTAAGTAACTTGTGTGTATCTTTTATTGGAATGAAGTACCTACTCAATAAAACATTAACTATCATCTAATATTAACAAAAGTTTCTTATTTCTAATTTACGAGCTTTGTTTCATTTTCTTTTAGACTATCACTTATTTGGTGATTTACTTTAGTTTTGCATTACTGGTGATTTACTTGCATGGCATCAACATCGTAAAGCTTTTTTGCAGTTCCAAAAATCATAGGCGTTATCGAAATAACATCCGATTTCATTCTGTAAAGTAGGAAACCAGTATACAGCCTAAATGTCTATATGCATGGGTCTTGCGATACATTTCATTTTAATAATAATGTTTTATTTCAGGTTGAACAAAATTGTATATTTCTGTGATATACGATTTATGGTCGAGGAATTTGAATAAATTCTCAGAAAAGGTTCGTAAGTGACAGACATGTGTCAAAATAGCATCTCCATGCCAAAATATGTCAGACATCAGTCTTGTTCTCTGCATTGTTCTTTCAGTATTTTAGGATAGTAACAATGAAAATTACTAATTTAAAGCGGTGATGTGGTAAGAAGTAAACAACTAGTAACTCATAGTTGTGAAATACGCCTAACATAAACTCTCATAGAACCTGTTTTATAATTTTTGATTTGATTTCAGTTGGGGAAATATCTACATAGGTTCGGATGCTTTGAATCTCGGTTGCCAACTCATTTGTTGTGTGCTGCTTTTGGTTATCACAGTAGTTGTGCTGATTTTCCTGTTAGCAACTGATACTATATGTAAGTTGTTAAAGTTTTGAAGTTAAGAATCTCTTCATTAGTCTGATGGTTCACAAACCAACCTACAACGCCTAAATCCTGCTCGACAAAATTGAGATTGTAATAAGTATGCAGAGATCTAGGACTATAGTCTTTTTCACGTAAGATGATTCGTATGACGTTTCGAGTTTGAAAGTTATAAGAGATATAGTTCCAAAATACTGGACTGTCCTGTCGATGACATTGACAGTGGGGCGCCACCGTCAATACCGGATCGCTGGTTCAGATTTTTGCCATGTTGGAAACCATATAGTTGAACGATGGTAGCGCCCCCCTGTCATTGAGTTTGGCGGGACAGTTCAGCGTGGGTCATCTATATCACATAACTAAACCATAGCGATTTATCAATAGATTTTTTCTAAGAGTTAGTGGGTGAATTTCAACAAGTGCATATTTTTTGCCTAATTTTGGTGGAAATTGTTATTTGTGTATTTTTATTTTTTAATTATAGATCAAATTTATTGGAAACTTATACTGTTTCTAAAATGATTAAGACATTAAATTTTGTCCAGTAGTTTTTTAGATTTTCCTTACACCAAAATTAAGAGAACACCAAAATTTATATTAAAGCACCAAAATTAGAAAATATGCTGTCAGACGGTCATATCTTAGTGCCAAGCTCAAGAAATGGTTTTAAATTTACCAGCACCGACTCCAAAAATATTAATCATGGTATATTGTCCTAATAAATAAATANAGTTTAGACAAATTAATGAAGTTTATGTTCATGGTACCCTCTAAATCGTCCCCGATGCTACCCTTAATATTTTCTATTCCCTTACCGACAGTAATTTTGCCCGCTCGTGATAAACAGTCTGCTAAACAATTATCTTTTGATTTGATACATTTAATAGTGTAATCATATTCGCTCAAAATTATTGACCATCGTTGCAACCTGCCAGCCACCATTAAAGGAATACTAGTTTTGGGTCCGAAAATTGAACGCAAAGGTTTGCAATCGCTAACAAGAATAAAATGCCTACCATACACATATTCGTGAAATTGTTGCACTCCAAAAATGATTGCCAAACCTTCCCTACATATTTGACTATAGTTCTGTTCTGCCGAAGACAGCGTGCGGCTGGCGTGGGCCACGGCGCGCACGCGGCCGAAAAGCAAGATTATGAAACATGTAAAGTTTGCCTGCACCGACTCCAAAAGTATCAATAATGGTATACCTACATAAATATTAATAATTCGTCCTAATAAATAAGTAGGTAATTAGTAATTATTTTTCTACGTTTTAGTGTAGGTTTTTTGGAGTCGGTTTTATTTTTTTTTATAAAATTTTACTTATTTCTTGCTTTTTAGTTAACTAATTATTACCTTGATGTTACCACTGAAGGTAGGCAGTACATTGAGACCAAAAAAATATTAATATCGATATAGGTATTAATTATATTAATATCGATATAGGTACTAACTACGGGAGCTAATTGATAACACGGTGGTCCGCGACTGACTGGTTTATTTAGAAAAGAAACGCAGCGCGTCGACACTCGATACAATATAGATGCGTAGGTATAGCTATAGCATGAATACATCACAATTGCCATGTTTGTTTAAATTACAAGCTTTGCTTAGTTTGGGACTAGAGGCGCTATGTAAAATAATTTCTTACTTCTGACATCCCTGAACCCGACATCATAATAATTTTTACCTATTTATTTTTTTCAAATCGCAAGGTTGATTTTCTCTTAGTATACCGATCTCGACCGTATTCAGTGACCATTAAGTCATCTGTCAACGGGTCGATTAGACACGATAAAAGCACTAAACGATCTGGGGGCACGGCAGTGCCCCCACCAAGTCGAGCAAAAAAGCGGCACGGCCGTACCATCCTTTTCTCGAAGCAATTCAGGCCATTTTCGACCGCCTGTAACTTCGTTGTGGATAAAACTAGAAGGCTGAATTTTCATTAGCTATGCAGGAATTGTAAAGACACGGTATATTTAAAATTTCNGTTCAGTAGTCATGTTAGATTTTCAAATAAATATGCTCAGAGATATCGAGGTTATCGAATGGAAACGATTTTGTATGAAATAAAACAATATAATAAGGCCCACAAAACCGAGCCTTTAAGCTCAATACAACTTGACATCCCTGGTGAACGGCGCGTTATCTACCTATCGGAACATCTGGCCCCTGAGTGCAAAAGCCTGCATGCAGCGGCGAGGAAGCTGGCAAAGGAGCGTGAATACAAATTTGTTTGGGTCAAGTACGGACGTTACGACGACGATTTATTTCTTAATACACTGATCAGCAATTTCGATATATTATGTCTGACAGAAACCAACCTCAACTCAAGCTTATTTGATAGTGAACTGTTTGACAAGCGCTATAACGTATTCCGCAGAGATCGGGAAAGTACCTGTATAAGTAAAGTTGAGGGGGGTGGAGTCTTGATTGCGATTGATAAAAAAATCAATGTTGTCCGACGAGAATTATGGGATAGCCCGGTAGAGGATATTTGGATCACTGTAATGCCGTGTAATAATAATGCAGTTGAAATAAATTTGTGTGTTTGCTATCTACCTCCCGATTTGCCACATGACGCTTTAAAACGGTTTTATGCGAACTGTCAAAAAGTGATAACTAACGTTCATGGAAACCCGGTTAATGTGATACTGGGCGATTTTAATGTCCCAAGTCTAACATGGACGTCTGCAACAAATTTTTCAATGACTCCTTGTATTTCAACAGATCATAAATCACACCTTTTATTAGACACTATGGCTCTCTGCGACCTATCTCAATACAACAGCATTCCAAATAAGAACGGAAGGTACCTCGACCTTGTTTTGTGCAACAGCGATAAATTATCTGTTTATGGTACCGATCCCCTTACTCGACTAGACGATCACCACCCATCCCTCTGCATTGAATTACACAATGTTGTTACAACCAATAAAGGGTTAAAAAAGTTCCATCGCCGAGTGCTGAATTTCAATAAATGCGATTACTATAAAGTCTGCGAGATGATTGGTGGTGTGAATTGGTTCGAACTTTTCTCTGCCGTTGACATAGATGAAAATGTTGCTAAGTTTTACGAGGAATTGAATTCCATAATTAACAAATACACACCCCTCAAAACAGCAAGAGAGTGCAATTTTCCCTCATGGTACTCGCCTTTACTAATAAAGAAGCTTAATGAAAAAAAAAAATACCACAAAAAATTTAAAAGATATGGTAACCCTAGGGATTATGACAGATTCTCGACACTGCGATCTATGTGCAAGGAAATGGTAAGGTCATGCTATAATTCCTATATCTCCTCTGTTGAAGAGGGTCTGAAGAACGATGTAAAGCCGTTTTGGCGGTACGTCAATGGTAGAAAGGACTCCAACAGTATTCCTCAGACCATGAAATATGGCGATGCAGTGGCTTCAGATGGAGAAAGTGTATGTAAACTCTTTTCGGATTTCTTCAGCTCCGTCTATGATATAAACTGTCCTCCTATCTCTGTCGCTGATCAGTCCGGCGAGGTGTGTGGTGGTTACCTATCGGGTATAGTACTGTCATTCGAAGAGGTCCTTCGGAAACTGAAACAATTAGACCCTGATAAGGGCCCGGGACCAGATGGAATACCACNGTGAAGTCTAACACCAACTTTTTTTATAAATTCAGTGTCGATGCGGAGGCAGTTACTCTAAACCGAATTGATTAATATTTTGCATGACTTCATTTAAGCCCTAAAGGCACAAAATTTTGAATATTACATTACAGTTATCTGAAAAAAAAATTTTCGCTCCACCCTAATGACCATGGACTCTCTGACCTTCGAGCTGTACCTTCCTGAAGCATATCTTCGAACTCTTTCTGAGCAATCCTTAGGCGATCTGGTGGTAGTCTACGAGGACGACTGGAAACGGGTGGGCCTGGACTCGTTTTTATATGTATTGTGTAATGTAATGTACTGTGTTGTGCTTTGGTACTTTATGCGTGCCTGCAGGGCGAGTAATGTCTGGGAACTCACGAAGTAGTTGATGGTATACTGTGTCTCCAGCTACTGCTTTTATTGATCCAATGACTTCGGCAGCGTCCTTTGCTGGCAGCGCGACAGACAGGCTCGTTAATCCGTCAATCAAGCGTTGATTCCTGCAATCCACCAATAGGTTATAGTAAGATAAAAAATCCACTCCAATAATAGGTTTAGTGACGTCTGCTACTGAACGTCTGAACCTCCAGTTAAATACGCGTCGCAGTCCCAAATTAATGTTCAAATGTGCCCAGCCAAATGTACATATCACGGTACCATTCGCTGCGAATAATTCATATTGAGTTTTGGGGCGTTGTCCTTTTATAAGCGAACGTGGGTAGACGCTAACGTCTGAGCCGGTATCAATAAGAAATTGCAGTTTGGATTCTCGGTCTGTGACAAATAATCGGCCTGAAGAAGTTGGGCAGACGCTTTCGGCCACTAATGACTGCCTCTGTCTTTTCCCTGCTGCTCGCGAGTGAAGGTACACGGCGATACACATTTCTTTGCTCTATTGCCGAATCTATAATGATACCAGCAGTGTGGATGACCTTCTGGTGGTTGGCGCGCTCGAGAATTTGATCGTTGGCGGTTATAATTATTTCTATTTATTGATGCGGGCCGGGACTGGCGTTTCTGGTTAATGACGAGCGCTTCAACCTGTCGCGTCAGGTCCGCTACTTTTTGACACATAATATCGAAAGCGGTACCTGATGGTGCTGCCGACGTCATGGCTACCTGTGCTGCGCTAGGAGGGGCGATGTCGTGGACGTGGTCCACCAAGTCCGCCACAGCTTCTAACGGACTGTCCTTCTGCAATGCGATAATCGTTTGTAAATTATTAGGCAATCTACTCGACCATATTGTGCGCATTAAATCGTCTGAAACGGTTGTGCCTGATAAACTCTGAAGGTGTCTCAAAAATTGAGAAGGTTTGCGGTCTCCTAATTCTTCATGCATTAAAAGTTGTTTTATTTTGCTTTCCTTAGAAGATGTTAACCGTTTAATCAATTCTGATTTTAATTTTTCATATTTATCATTTGCGGGTGGTGAAATAATTATATCCTTTACTTCTGCAGCGTATTGGTGGTCTAATTGACTAACCACATAATAAAATTTCGTCGCGTCGACATTAATCCCAGACAGTGCAAACTGACCTTCAATTTGGGCAAACCAAACAGCCGGTTCTTCAGGCCAGAACGGCGGTACTCGTACACCCACACGGCAGACATCCTGGTTGCTTCCAGCCGCAATAGCACCACTTCTTGTGTCTTCTTTTGGCGTAGACATCGTGATAACGTTCTTGAACTCCGTTGTTCGTCGATGTGTCACCAATTTAGCAAAGACCTAACTGACGGGAATTGAATTGAAAATGTCCGTTACTTTGCTAAAAAGTTTATTTCACTGTCTACAATGTTTGTTTATACTAAAACCACTAAATAGACACACTATAAAGTCACTGATATTTGCCGTGATAGGTAATCGCGGTATTTGAAATATATCCGAAATTATTACAATAATAAAAGATCGCGGGTGTATCGAGTTAAGCGCTGAGAGGAATCGAGCGTGCATTCGCCGTCGCAACTAGCTTCGCACTGATTTTGCCGATGCGCAGACGCGGCGGGCTCCCGGCGCGCGGCCGAGCGCATTCCATTGTGTACAACGGGCAACGCATACAGTCGAGGTTTGAAGTTCGGATTTTAACCGACTGCAGAAAAGTGAGCTATGTTTTCATGTGGTTACTACACTTTCAAACAGTTAACTAAAAGTTATAACATTAATCATTATTTCACATACTCNAGGAGTAATAATTATAGAAATCAATATGAAATATTGAAATATCTAAAATATGAAATGTAAAATCGTAAAATATGAAATATCAAAATGTAAAATATGAAATTGTAAAATTATGAAATTGTTTAAACTACAAAAATATTGTGAAATTATGAAATTGTAAAATTATGAAATTGTAAAATTATGAAATTGTTTAAACTACAAAAATATTGTGAAATTATGAAATTGTAAAATTATGAAATCCCGCATCTGAAACGAAAAATACGCCAATAGATGTCGCTAGTGGTATCCAAAATCAGAATATTGAGAAGAAATATTAATTTGTGAAAAAACAGCAAACGGCAACGTTACACAACACATTTACGTTTTTGGCGGGAAGACGCAGAGGTCTTGCACCCGTCTGCCGTCACTGCTCGCGGGGGCGATACTAAACCTAACGAATGATGGGAGTGTTTAAATCCTGTTTAATCTTTAAAGAACATGACGAGCTATTTCATTATTGACACCAAAATCATAAATTTTTCGCGGACAAAACTTAAGGACGTGACTTAATCACAGTTATTTGGGAACCTTGCTTAATTTGGTAATCTTAGATAATAGATAGATTGTATAATCCAAAAATATACTTTTTCCCTAAGTTCTGTTTTGAACTTCAGCTAAAAAAATACATATTGTAAGAAATTAAGGATGTGGACACTGCACCAAAATTAGAAACGCTTAGTTCAATTATTTTTTGTCCAATTTGTAAAAGAAAATACTCATTAATAATGTTGTCCTCAAAATGGAACCTCTGTATATTTTCGTGTAAAAAAAAATCAAAGTTCTATGTCATAAAAAACATATGATTTTCAGCTACGCCGCTCAAAAAATGTGTTTGGGAAATTGACCCTAGTAAGACCTACTTTTAGATAAATATTTTGTATAGGTGTCATTTAACAAAAAACATGTTTTTTTAATTAAAAATATTTTTGTAACAATTTTTATTGATAATATTCAAATTCCATGGACTTCGTGTTCAAAAAAAACGATTCCTAAAAAGTACTGGTTCTATTTCTTTAAATTAAAAACTATTAATTTATTTTCAATGCGTTTATTAAAGTCAACAATCGAAAAATATAGTTGATTTTCGTGATGTTTTTAATAACTAAGTATTCACTGCAATCGATTAATGAACCGCGGATATAATCGATTTTGTTGTACAACAAATACCCCAGCACTACATCTATTCCGTTTCACACATTGCGTACATTAAATAAAAAATATTTTTACATCGTATTTAATTAAAATATTAATCAATAGACTCAGATTTTAGTATACATTTCAAGACAAGTAGTTAATTTTTTTTTATTATATTGCTAATAAAATACAAATATTTTTTCAAAAATATTCTGCATATGTAGTATGCGTAATATGGATAACCTTGAAGTGTCATACGGATCATCTTAGGTGAAAAAGACTATAGTATCAGGTTTCAGGTTTTTTGGAGTCCGTAACACCGTTTGCTGCAATCATATCCCAAAGGGCTGTGACGACATGTAAAATTAATCACTCACGTCGTTCACACCGTGCGTGTTAAAATCACATGCAGTAAAGTCTTTAAATATTTTATTATTTTCAGAATTGAAGCGACAATGGACAAGGTAACACTTCACACGGGCGACGTGAAAAGGAAATCGCCGATCAAAAATTCTGTTTGTTCGCAATGCGGGGTCGTCACTGGAATATATTATCTAGGGGATGTTTGTGAAATCGTGCAAAATGTTGTCATAACGTTCTACTGCCGAGTTGGATTATTAAAATTAATTTTGCAACAGAGTTCACGAAGCACTTTTTATTTTACACAACGAAAAACACGTCTGGGTATTTTAGGGTTATTTTCCAGTGAATCTTGTTTTAGCCAAACTCGGAATTTGGACTACATTGAAAATAAATGTTTTCCTTATCTGGGAAGCTCTTAGCCTGTGTGTCACCTGATGGAAAATGATTATACTTATCAGCATTCTAATATGATCCAGGGAAAATATTATTATAAACTTCCAGCAATATATTTCGATAAGTTATTATTGAGTTGAAAGTTGAAACGTACAAACTCGTTTTCATTATTTTGAGGAAAATTTTCATGATCATATTCCAAATAAATTCGTGATGATAACGACACAAGCGAACTTGATAAAGTACTAGATAGTAGTCGACTCACAAGAATAGGCACCCATACTCATGAAACTAATTCAGTAAATAAATGCTTTATTGTGAATTAGTAGATATTTATTATGAAACTCTACATTTATTATAACCTCATCGCGTCTTGGTTGAACTTTTGGTTGAACTAACTGCTGAAAAGAAGTGCATCGTGGTGGCCATAGATCTTCGCTAAACATGGGAGTCCTACTAAAAAAGAAATGTAGAGAAATATCTACGTCTCAGCCAAGATTTGGCTCTATGGACGAAATCCGAAACCGTAATTATGTTTTAATTTAAAAAAAAACCTCATTCATCATTAAGATCACTTTGATTGACAACAACAAAGTCTCATCACTCATCGTAGATTAATAAAACATATTATATTGGTTGATTTAATTTATCTTGAAATGGATGAAATTTTAAGATAAAAGTGTTCGTTAGGGCTCTAATCTAATCGAACTTATTTAATTAACATGTGGTAAGTTACTTATATAAAAGAATTCAGATAAAATTATTTGTTTCGTAGGTTATTTAGACGATTTATTTTACATTTTTACATGATTTTTACAGTTGCTGCCTTCTGAATATCTGGAAACTACTTATTATATGTTTACCATTATTTATAGTGGTAGTAGTAGTCGTATTTTTGTACCTATGGCTGGCAGGACATGTAAGTGTTTCATTTTAAATCCTCTCTACCAAAACATAACGTTCTATACCTTAATCACCCACCCTTTACTAACCCCCTTACTAATAAAAAGTTACACGGTTGTTAATCACTGTTTTATAATGACATTTCCATACTAAACGTCTCTTTAAAACACTGATCAACGAGCGTGTAAGTTTTATTAGTAAGGGGGTTTTTAATATTTTTTAATTGTTTGTAAATGAAGTACCTATTAAATATTTAACACTAAACTTCTTCTAGCTATGAATTATAAGAAAAAGGAATTCCATACTTCTAAAAGGAAGAATTAAGGTATAAAATTCTTATTACATAGATAGGTAGGTAGGTATTTCATTTAATTAATAAATAGATGCCCATTAATAAAGCGCTGAATATAAATTACTTTGTTATTTTTTATGTAACGAATTTTTAATGTTAAATACATACTTATTTCGAATAAATCTTCTTGGTGTTTGACAAATATTAGTTCTGACACTGATAGATTTGACTGAGGCATGTCAAATGGCTTTTCCTTTAGTCAGATTTATTTAGATGAAGGTTTTTACGGAGTGTATTTATTTTTAGTATAATATGTGGTAAATACTTTTACTCGCATTCAAAATACAATAATAGTTACATTATATAGCTCAAACTTCATACATAAACATTCACGATAGCGTATCTAAGGGTGGTAATTTATCATTAAAATGTATTCACCTTAGGTGTTCGCCAAATCTTACATAATTTAGCATTTAAAATGCCTACATATATCTATCAATCTTGTCGTAATTTAAACAGTGAACACGCACTTCTGTAATTAAAATGCAACTATTTTTCAGTGTAAACTTGAGCAAAGCGCTACTTCTTATAATACCTTTGGCGATCGCAGTGTTTATTGGATTCGTAGCGTACCATTACTTGAAGCCACATCTCCCTGCCACGAGAAGAGTTTTCGAATCGCAAAATAAAAGTTCTACTAGAACTTACACAACGCGAGGTTTTTAGTGCCCATTGGTTTGATGTATCATCACCATTTGGCCGTATTTTTCCTTATATGCCTCAATTATGAACAGCTTTGGTGGGGCTGGGCTACTATGATTACAAGTCTTAACCATCGGACCAAGATAATGTACACTCTCCTTCACGGTCATGGTTCGTAATACAAATGAATTTTGCGTTTGCCATTTTGATGCGAAGTGCGTGTTCACACCAAATTATGAGTGAAAAGAAAAGCTTTAAGTATGACAGATGTAACTTTTACTAATGTACTTCATTCGAACTCGGTGTGAGCATACACTGATGATATTTTAGATATTTGGATTCACATTTATATAGGTAGAGTCTAGAGTCATACAGTCGATAGCACCTCAGACTATGCAATAACTTTTGTTTTTAAAGTTGTCTCTATCTCTTTGATTTTAAAATTGGAACATTGTGATTAAAAATTTTCGGGAAAATTTTCAATTGCTTTCAATTTCGGAAACAGAATAGGTACATTTTCATGTGGTAACCTTTGTAGCATGTACTAGTCACTTTTGTAACAAGTAGTAGATTTCGTAGAGTAGAAGATAATAAGTAAATTTCATGTGGTAACCTTTGTAGCATGTACTAGTCACTTTTGTAACAAGTAGTAGATTTCGTAGAGTAGAAGATAATAAGTAAATGATAATATTTATGCAATTTCCGAAATGACTGCATCATTAATTTTCAGCATCTGCTGGTACAATTGCAGCAAGTACCTCTGTTTCCTGATACCTCTCGTCGCAGCTGTGGTGTTGGGAATGATACTGTATAATTACATCAAATCTCAATTTCCTGAAGTACCATAGAGGGCAAGGTTATACCAAGCGGGTAAGAAATTATTTAGTCCTTCGTTGGAAAATAATCTAGTACGTTTTTTACCTCCGATTTAAGGTAAGGTGTACGGCTAGACTGTCGAAGATGCTTACGTGCACACTTCTAAAGATTTTCTCACAACTTTTTACGCGAGATCTTGTTTATATCATTCAAGTGACGTATCCACTCTGGGCAAAAGCCTCCCACCAAGGATTTCCATGGTCCTGCGCTGCCCGCATTCAAGTGCTTCCCGCAACCTTCGCCAGATCGTCGGTCCATCAGGTAGGTACCTGCCCACACTTCGCCTTGCGGCCCGTGGAACTTTTCTGCCCCATCTGCGAGATCTTAAATATAATTAAAGTAATGGTTTGATATCATAATGCGAAATTTACTTTCAGGTAAAATGGACTATAAAAGAAAAGCAATTTCAATGAGTTTTATAGCGCTCAGTAAATTTAAGCAATTTATATAAAAGAAGCATTAATTTATTGTTTGTAAACGTAAAAGTATTTTTATTGATGTAGTTATTATACTAATTAAACTAATTTATTAATTTTAATTTTGTGTTTTTTATCATTCCCGCTAATGCACCACAAGGAGTGAGAGTACTTACTTATTAGAACGTATAATATTAGGTATTTGATAATTTACGATAACTAATACATAGTTGTCTTCGTTGTTTCTATCCACCAAACTTCACATGTTTTCACACTATAGTTTTTTATTTGCTTCTCCTTAGTTACCAAGGCACGTAATAATATTGTTACGTTATACGTTCTCAGACGTACCTACGTAGTATCTTCTTAGTCGCGATCCTCATAATATTACTAAGATTCGTGGAAAGAAACACCCAACGACTTTCCAGGAAATTGTAACGGAAAGTTCCTAAGGCCTTTTCATATTTATTAAGGTGTTCAAGAAACAGGTTGACAACAACTTAATCGTAATCAGATTAGTCGAAAAAAAAATTGTTAATAATCCTAAAATATTTTCATGTAAAATGTGGCCAAGACGAGCCGTATTAAATAATAATAAATATTTGTTTATTTATCAGACACTCTTTCAGGTAATCACTTACCATCAGGTGATCCGTCTGCTCGTTTGCCTCCTGTCACATAAAAAAAGGTATAGGTCAAACATAATAAAGTAATAAAAATAGTAATTGTGTGTGCGATCTGGAGCCTAAACTTAGGGCTACACTGTATTTCAGGCAGTTACCCACTCGCTCCTAATAGCTATTGTATTATAAAAAAACCGGCCAAGTGCGAGTCGGGCTCGCGCACAAAGGGTTCCGTAGCAGCAAATATAATAAACTTATTATGTCAATTTATACACCTGGTGAATGGAGCCTAAACTCTCCCGATATTTTGCCTTGTACTTTTATGTATGAATATTAATTTTATATATGTATTTATAAATATTCCGAGCTAAAGAGGTGGCAAAAGCAATGGCAAACAAACCACAATCAATAGTATTCGGTTGTCGCTGAACACTTGGAAACTGAATACATGACTCCGATAGATACGGAAACAAGGCTTTTACATATATTTTTTGCGATTTTCCTAGAACACCAACAAGACTATCGTACACACGCAGTATTCCATTAATGTAATAAATACAACTCCAGTGCCCCACTAATCCCACGTCACCGTCATAAATTACTTGAAGGTGCGTCTCATTTTTAGGTACAGGTTCAATCAGTTCAGGGTGTTGAAATAATTCTAGCTCACGCGGTCTAAATGATGTGCACCGAAGTAACTTTTCATGAAATGCGCGAACCACATCATCTTCGATATAGTTATTATAATTCAGAATGTAGGAAAACGTATTATCTAAAGTATCCATTGTTAGATGATATACAATAAGCTTTAGAAATTTTAAAAACCTGCTACGAAACACTAAAATTTGCACCAAAAACAAAGGAATTTATATTATTGGGGGATTTATTAGTACGTGACCGGTTTAATAGCACCTATTAAACCAGTATACCTACTTACTTATTTTTTATAATAGGTACAATTCAATATTAAAAAGTCTCAACGCCAAATTCGACTTGCGAAAGAAGTAAATGGGAACGATGAAATTCTCTTAGCGCGCACAAGTGACAACGACGTCTGCCC